GGTTGATATTAGTTTTTCTTTTTTTTTTTATCTCTTTACGCCTCAAAGAAAAGGATAGAAATAAAATCTACGTATATTCTAACCTATACGATATATCTACTTGGATATTTGTGTCATCATCAGCTTGAGATATTGAAAATACCTTTCTAATTAATGAACCTAACCAAATATTGTCTAGCTGCCACAAGCCATGTGCTCAAGGTAGGGTGCCATCTTTGAGATTCTTTGTATCTATTTGTAATAATTCATCAACTTCTTTTGCAATATTCCCATTACAACACTATTTCATTATATGATCTTTTTTCATGAAAAAATTGTAAATAAAATATATAAGACTTTTGTAGTGTCATTTTATTCAAATGGAAATACGAGATTAGTATATCATTAATAATCTATCCAAATTTAATAAACGAAAAAAAAAAATCATGATTCAGAACCTTATAAATTAATTATTTCTGCCTACTTGTAGGAGAAACATAAGATACCAAAACTTTATAGTGTCAATTAATTTTGCAATCAAAATATGATAAATTTAACTTCAATGAATCAAGTGAAAGTCGGTACGTAAAGGGATAATGTTACTTTGATGGAATTTTTTTGAATTTATTACATTGAAAAAGCAAAAGAAGAATGAAAATGCCAAGGCCAATTCCATCAGATAAGACTTTTCTTGACTCTAGTTCCGTAATATCCTTCCATTTTACTTTATTTATCTGGATTTAATTGATACAAAATTTAAAAAAGTAAAAGCTATTTTTAAACTTTGTGATCTTAAACTAAAAATATATAGAATGTATCGAAATAATTTTTTTTTATCTTGTATCTTAAACAAGTCATATAAAAAGTTACAATATAAAAATTATTAAAAGAGGAAAGAGTCATTCTTCTTAAAACAGACTAAAAAAAGATATTAAGATAAATAAATTGAAACGAAGAGGGTACAAATAAATTAATAAGATGAAAATTATATATAAGCACGCAACAATAATAGTAGTATCACTTAATTCAAGATATTCCATTTGCCTAAGATCAAATCATGTCTGTCATTAAACGTGCTAGATGCTTGAACAAAAAATAATCTCCCTAGATTACTTTCAGCTTAAATCAAACATTATTGGACATTTTATTTTTATTTAAATGAAATAAGTTTATACTTTAAAAATATTAATGGAAATCAGAAACCTTTATACCTTCATAATATTCCTTTTTAAAAAAATGAATTGAGACATTAGATATTCCAACATTTTACGATTAGTAAGGATATTGATTAGTTCTATTTAATTAATTTATGTTTTCATAATTGTGTTTGTTCCTCAGCATGGGAAGTGCACGTGCAATCCGTTGCTTCCTTATACCAGCTACGAAAGAGCAACGTGCTAGTGGCAGTCACCGTAAATTCCTTTAATCTAAAGGGCATTTTGACGAACAGAAATTCATAAAAGGCAGTCGAGCATTTGTGAATTTTCGTCAAACATATCTTTTTTTTCTCTCTTTCTTTCACAGTATATGAAAATGGGATTACTGAATATAGTGCTGCTCTTTGCCACCATAAATGTTGCTTTATCTGTTCAAGACGGTATGTTCTTACTAATTTAACTTAACCTGATAGTATGTAATTATATTGTGCAAATAGGAAAAAAATAATACCGTTTTATATAAGCTGTGCAAATCTCTAAACATAAGAAAACACTAGTGAGATGGTAAAACAAATGTTGCTTTAAGTTGAAAGTTTAGTTATCATGTATGATAACGTATCTGTTACATGCAAATTTGATTCATTGGCTCTTGCTTGCAATTCTTCATTTAGCTTAGCAATGATAGAGAAAGAAAAGATCTTAAGCCATTCATTCACAACAAATTGTCTATTCAATTCTGATTTCTGAATCAACTTCTTATGATTCACTGTAAAAATGAGTGACATATATTTATAGTTTCCTAGAAGATCTATGATTGAATATCGCACAGACAGATGAAGAGGAAAGAAGATGGAAAAAATTGTAAAAAACGAAGAAAAGAATACTATGATGAAATTATCATGGACCGTCCTACTTAGAAGGCAATTAATGCTAGGAAGATACTCCTAGCATACGAGATTTTGGGTATTGTTTTCATGAATAAGTTTCAGCTTTTTGCACATATGAATCTTTATGACGATTGGGGCAATAACTGCTTAAGAATTGGGAATCGGAATATACTCTATTTACATTTTACGTCTCATAAGTGAGGTATTTCTAGTTTTCAATTGAGTTCTGTTTTTAGTTTGAGACTTTGAAAAATCTACTCAGCCTTAAAAAAAACAAGAAGTATTTTATTAACTTATCCACGAGTAAATTAATTTACAAAATCAAAACAGAATTGATTTTAAAAAAATCATTTTACCATTCCAATTGATTATTTTTTGAAAGTTTAAACAAGTTTTAAAATTTCAAAAAAGTAAGTCTCTTAAGGGGGAAATTGATAAAACCACCCTTCTTATTCATAATTTCTTTAAAATGTGCAGAAAATAAAAAGAAACTAGACAACTAATATGGAATAAATAAAATACCTATGTAATTTAGTTTATTGGTTACATAAAAGTTCACTTATCTAAATAGGGGTAAAATGAAAAAAAGAAAAAAAAATTATTAACACCTTCTTGATTACGTGAACCACCGGGATCAAAATAAAAAATAATTACTACAGCCTACATATTTAACTGTCAAATATCAGTGGCATACGGCATTTATGACTGAATCCATATATAAGTTATAACAGTTCCAGCCCCACCAAAAACGACTGACTTGATTTTCACTAAGGTTTTGATCACTAACATCAAGGTATTTTTAGTATCAGAGTCTTTGTCACAATAATAAACATTTTATAGAATTACATATATATCCTCCTCCTTTTTCTGAAATTGAAATAGAACAATCAATTCATTTTCCTATAAAGTATAAATGTCGCTCAACAATTTCCTAAATTACATCCTGAATGTGTAATTACCATTAGATTTTTACCTTACATATTTACTTAGAAGATCCAGCCTTGCCAGTTGCCACCGATCTCCCGACACCAAGTTGTCACATCAATATTCTCTACCCCACTTTTGATTTTTTCTAATAAAAAAAAAGTAGTATTGTAATTGATATGCAGTAACCCAAACCGGAAAACATAGCTGGTAAGCTTTACCAATTTTGGTTTATTCCTCATGCAAGCCAATGTTACATGAAGTTAATAGGGCACAAAAAAGAGAAAACAAAAGTACCTAATGAGCTGGTCTTACTTTGTTCACGTGATTACTGAAACACAACATGTGATGTGGATCATCCAATGGCAATTAACGAACAAACAAGGGCTACTTGATATGTTACACAACATTTGATGATATAATCTCAACTTATATACACAGATAACACAACATTTGTTTCACATATTAGTGTAGCTATACCTGCTGTAATAGGTCATTTATCATGTCTTGTAAGTTATAAATCCACACGTAATTGTAATTGGTTATATATGTAACTTTTCGACCTTGTGGTTGATCAGGATTATTGCCTAACGGAAACTTCGAGCAAGGTCCAAAAGCATCACAAATGAAGGGGACAAAAGTGACAGACCCACACGCAATACCTCACTGGGAAATATCAGGCTATGTAGAATACATTAAAGCTGGACAAACACAAGGTGACATGTTGCTTCCAGTGCCAGAAGGAGCTTTTGCTGTTAGGCTTGGGGAAGACGCCTACATCAAGACCAGAGTCACGAATGTCACTAATGGGACTTTCTACTCTCTGTCTTTCAACTTTGCTAGGACTTGTGCTCAAGAAGAGAAACTCAATGTGTCGGTGTCGCCTAATAATGAGCCTAACGACTGGGCAATGCTTCCTATGCAGACTATGTATAGTAGTGATGGTTGGGACTCATATTCATGGGGTTTCTTGGCCCAAGCCAATGAGATTGAAATCATGTTACACAATCCAGCAGTTGAGAAGGACCCAGCTTGTGGCCCACTCATTGATTTCATCGCTCTCAAGGCTCTGAAAACCCCCCATAGACCAAAAGGTAATTTTCCCTCATCTCTCTTGTCCATGTGCATTTAAGTTGGGAGGCCACGTATAACTTTTATTCTAAGGGGTCGTTTGGTTGGGAACAAGTTATCTTGAAGTTAGCTTATCCCACCATGTATATGGGATATCTTATCCCATCGCTATGATATAAATGGTGGGATAAATTATCCCAAACATGGCAACCAAACAAGATACAAAATTTTTATCCCATCACTATTTATTTTTATCCCTCACACCAAGTGACCCCTAAGTGTGTTTAAAAGTAGTACTTCAAATGCTAATACATAAAATGAAAGCAGGCAACATGTTGAAGAATGGAAACTTTGAAGAGGGTCCATATATCTTCCCCAACACAAGCTGGGGTGTTCTAATTCCTCCAAACATTGAGGATGATCACTCACCTTTGCCTGGATGGATGATCGAATCTCTCAAGGCAGTAAAATACATTGATGCTGAACACTTCACCGTGCCAGAGGGTAAGCGCGCCATCGAGCTTGTGGCAGGAAGAGAAAGCGCAATAGCACAAATAGTGAGGACTCAGAAGGGAAAAGTGTATGACCTTATGTTCTCAGTTGGAGATGCGAGCAATTCCTGCCAAGGGTCTATGCTTATAGAGGCATTTGCTGGAAATATCACTTTGCGAGTCCCCTATGAATCTGCAGGTAAAGGAGGATTCAAACGGGCCAAGCTTCGGTTCACCGCAGTAACTGAGCGCACCAGAGTCAGGTTCTTGAGCACATACTACCACATGAAGAGTGATCACTCTGGCTCCTTGTGTGGTCCTGTGGTTGATGATGTGAGATTAGTCGGAGTTCGCTATCCATAAATTCCATAGATCAATTAATTACTAGTAATATAGAAGCTATGATGGTTATTACTTTATTTGCTTCGCCTTTTCTTTCTTCTTACAGCATTGCTTATGCGAGGGAATCAGTTACTATTCCATGTAATGTTACTATAGCAGACATGTTCCTTTCTCCATATAGCAAAAGAAATTAGAAGGTTTAAATCATTTAGTCTTCGTTGTCATATCTTACATGTACCTACAAAATTTCAAGAAATCAAATAAAATTACCTCCATCAATCTGCTCTCGCTGTCAATATTAAATTAGATCAATAAAAATTCTATCTTCCTTATTTTTTAATATATAGGTAATCCAAACTGGCAAACTCTATCTTAGACTCCAAAGAAGAGATGACTCTAAACAAATCATTGCCACATACTAAACAAAGTACGGTTAAAATATCAAGCAAGTGGCACACACATTTTTCCTTACTCTTTATCCATTCTAAATTGCTATTCCAGTCTGCTATATCTTATCGGATAATGCAAGTTAACTCCAATTTATTGTCATCTAAAACTGAAACTCACTTGATTTGGTCCAAAATTCACTAAGAGAAGAAATTTAATTACTTATTTCTATAGATTACCTAAGTCATAAGACATCCATTATCAAAGCCGGCAGCTGCTTCATTAGCAGAAGGCTGTGGAACTCGATCACTCAGTTTTCTGGGTTGAGTGAACATCTAACCTTCATCATTAGCCTCATCCTCAATTTCTGCCACCATGGCCTTAGTTTCTTCTTCAATTCCCTAATGTATATGCCATTTCAACAAGATCACAACAGAAATTAGCGACTTTAAGTGGCAATATCCACACTCTTGGTGACCTTGATGAATCCTATCCAGTATAAGCAATGTTTGCAAAGTTACAGAGCCCAAGGACTTCAGCACCTATAAGGCTATAACTGCAAATGCTCTGAAAGTCTTTAATCCCGGTAGATCCAAGCAAGGATGTAGGTTCATGCTCTGTAACAAATCATAGAACAATCTAGTTGGGCCATGCATATTTCTATAGCAATATAATTTGCAAAGCAGCTATGCCAATGTAAAGGACAACAACACCACTACCTAAGTAGAAGCCAGAACTATCCCGCTGCTTTAAATGATGAATGGAGTGTACACTCTCTATATATTAGCAAAACAATAGCACTTGCTCTTCTTAACAAGCTACTCCTGCTTCGAATATAAAGGGATTACTAAAATTTTGGAATATGGAAAAAAAAAAAAAGGAAAAGATATATCTCATTCAAATTTCAAACTGAACTTCCGATATATGTGTCACAGTACTAATCCAAGGAAGGAGGATACTCAAAAAAATCAAACAAGGATTCCCACCATTTCACTCATAGCAAGGGTTCCGAAATCTTTTTATTAATCTAATTATAATGGATTGTTAAAAAACTTTGTAGGCACAAGGCCAAAAAAAATTCAAGAATATTTTACCGTGTTCGAAAGCTGAAGTCGTCTCTCCAGCATGTTGCTTCGGCAACTACAGAGTTGATCCATCCAAATCCTGAACTGAAAAATTAAAGAGAATCAAATTTTGGCAAAAGTGAAACCTGGACTCTCAATCAGATTCGGGTCAATTTTAATAACCCGACAACTCCTTAAACATGGACCGAATTGCTACACTGGGGGTCCAATGTTATATGTCCAACTGTCCATCTTTAACTGGACTTGTTATATTAAGGCCATCCAACCAAACCTATGGGCTTTGCAACATTTTGATATGGCTAATTTACGGGAACTTTCGCAAATAGCCACTATAATAAACTTAATTATGCTCTATAGCTATAGTTTGTATATTTACGGGCTGTAGCTGCAATTTAAGTTATCTCGTTTGTATAATTCACGGGTTTATATAATTAGCAGATTTGTATAATTTGCGAGTACATTTGTATAATTCAGTTATTTTTGTATAAACTCGAAATAACAAATTTATACAATTACAAACATCAGAAGTATAAACAGTTATACAAATTATACTATACAATTACTCATTATACAAAAGTTATACAAATTATATTATACAAAACTAAAAAGTTGAGCCGCGTAATTATAGCTAAAAGTAGATCGCGGATTGTAATTAAGGAAACTATAACTATGTTAACTAATTAACTAGTATATGTTTGCTTATACGTGTAATTTTTCCTTTACTAAATAATTATCACAAGTAAATTTCTAAATAATTATTGTAACTTTTAATTTCATATTATTAATTAATCTCTAATATTTATTAAGAAATATTTTCAACAATTAACCCGCCAACCATCGGAAAATAGTTTCCGCACAAGCTAACTACTAAGATGACATCCAGCCTATCAAAACATTACTTTCTCTATCTCAAAATATTGATCGTATTTGTTTTATGATGTGAGGTTAAAAATATATATTTTTAATTATTATTTGTTTCATATTTATTATTTATATTTATTTATTTTTTAGCATTAATTTTATGAATTGTGCTAAATAGTGTATTTTATTTGTAGGAGTAAATTGACGTAAAGTTGAAAAAAATTGAAGCTAAAATGAATTAAAGATGAGCAAGCAACTTAATAGATTAAATTGAATATAATAATATATAAAATTATATGCTGCAAAGTGCACATTCAATTGGAATCTTGAAAGGAGAATATTGTTGCCAGCCACGTGGCAAATTTTGAAGCAGTGGCCAATTTAGGAGCTGCGCACAATCTTGAAGGCGGCGGACAGAACGCGTACAATAATTCCAACTCAGTTTTGGTTTTTGGTTTTATCGTTTGTTTTGGTCCCAGTTATTTTATTTAAGGTTTTCTACATCTATAAATAGTTCATAGAAATAATTATTGAACAACCAATATAGAGTAAGGAGGAGGCACTTTTGAAGAGAAAGTCGTCAATACTTTTTAGGATTCTTTTCTTCTTCTTGTTTTCTTAGACTAATGTAGCTAAAGTTCTTGTTTTGGGGCTGTAGCTACGGATTCAATGTTGATTATTTAAGATTTTTGAATTAATTCTTGGTTGTCATTATAAGTTGCTTCTATATTCTTGTTTTAGTATTTTGTGCTTGATCACCATGAGATAAATCTATTGTCTAATATTAAAAATCGAGAAGAGAAGAGGTTAGATAGACCAGAGAATATAGAGAGCTCGGTCCACCCATTAAATTGAGGTGATTAGTGTTCAGGAGTGACGTCCAGACGAATACCTTGCTTGGTTACAAAATAGGATGAAATATAAATGCTCGCCAGTTAGTCTATTTATTCCCGCTCAACGATGTAGTTAGATAGCTAACTGGGGTAGGCGACGAGAGGCGTATAACCCGGATCATATCATCAACCCTGTAAACCAGTAACTTGACAACTGAAATTAGTTCTAAGCCAATAATATGATACATGAAATTCAATACATGCTGTAGCCCTGAGATTTTCCAACTATTGTAAGTAATTTTATTATTTTGTTCTTGCATTCTTCTCTTTTGGCTCTCTTAAATAAATAATTATATCAGTATAATTTAGTAAAAATAGTTAATTGACAAGTTATTTGGGTTCGATAATCTGGTTCTTTTAAGAGCCACTATATTACTTGCGCGACCGCGTACACTTGCGTGTGCAATTGGGAGCAGCATTTTACATCTTCCATAAGAGAACATTAAGTAGGAAAAGTATTTGGCTATTTTACTCTTATTTATACTTAAGATATAATCTCTCTTTATTTAATTGCTACTATATTTATATGCCATAAATCATAATTGAGGTGTTTGGAGTTGAATTGCTCCAAAATAATTATTTAATTTTCTCCGAAACTTTCTAAAATTGTAAATATTTTTAGTAAAGACGATATATATTTTAAAGTGGAGGAAGTATTACCTTTAATTTGGAGCTCTTTTTTCCATGCTACTTAACTATGGTCTATGTATACACTTTTAGGCTATGTGAAAACATTCTATAACTTCATAATGTACTTTTTCCTTTTCTATAGTTTATCTCATAATGTACTTGAAGCATTGAATTGCAATATCTTATCACAAAAAAGTTTTATCAATAATGTATCCTTAGTAAAGACGATATATATTTTAAAATAGATCGAGGAGGTATTACCTTTAATTTCGAGTTCTCCTTTTTCCATGCTACTTAACTATGGTCTATGTATACACTTTTTGTTGTTGTTGTAAAAACAATCCATAGGCTATGCGATAACATTCTATAACTTCAAAATGTACTTTTTCCTTTTCTATAGTTTATCTCATAATGTACTTGAAGCATTGAATTGCAATGTCTTGTCACAAAAAAAGTCATTTGTATCAATAATGTATCCTGTCCAACGAAACGAATCTGGAACTCCATGATTGATCGATAGATTAGCTTCTATGCGAATTTATATTTTGAAGTTTATGAATTCGTATAATAATTTTAAGTTAACATAGAATAATTTTAAGATTTAAATTAACTATATATAATTATTTTGTTAATTTCTTAAAATAAATACATGATATGAACAAAAGTTATTAAAGTCACGTGAACTCACACCTTAGGAACTAAATTCATCTCGCTCAAATCCAATCATAATTTTTTAAAAGTAGAGATAGAATGAAAGAAGTGATAGGCACAATATTGTGTCTTTAAAACGTCAACTCCTATAGCTACATACGTAACTTTTGCTTTCTGACTCCAAAAAATGCCAAAGGGGAAAGTATCTATAGTTCAATGTTTGTGGAAATACTGCTCCACTTTTGACAATTTGGGGTATGGTTTTCTCATATAAATCCCCACTATGTGACCCCTATTTTAATTAATAATCATAACGAATTGGAAAAGAAAAGAAAAAAAAAAAGTCATACTGAATACTCAATAGCATGTTCAAGGATAAAAAGTGGGCGTCCCGGAAACGCGGGGACTAAAGGGAATAACACGCAATATTTGACATTCCAAATTCCAAACCGGCAAAACTAGATGGACCACTTACATTCTTTCTTTTTGTCTCACTATCTCTTTTCGTCGATATTCATTTTGAGATTTGATTAATTTGAATTTGCATAAAAATATCTAGTATAATGTTTCCTATGGAAAACGATTGTACACTAACAAGAAACCTCTAATTAAAGATAAAAAAAATATTTATCTTTTCAAAACAACATTTAATAGTCTCTTTTTTTGAATCGCGTTGAAATATTTCTTATTAATTCTTGTCAACAAGGGACTATTGAATCTTTTGTGGACTGTTACTAATTGGTTACACGCTCAATTTGGTTGTAACCCTTTCAAATTCTATTTGACCCTATGTTTAGGTCAAATTCATCCCCTATTTTACCAAGACTGAAAAAAACATCTACCAAATTCAATCATTCAATTATTTGACATATATACGATTAATGCTTTCACAAAGATTTTCCATTAACTTATAATCTCCACGCTCCTTAGATAATTGATTAATCAGTTTAATCAAATTTGCACTGTTTTAATTATTTTCTTTTAGTCCGTGAAAACAGATATCTTTAGTATAGACAAAGTATTTTAATTTAGTCCGTGAAATGAATTATCTTTAATAACGTACGTATCTAAACAAGAGAATTATATTATAGACAAGAAATGAACATTAATATTAATTTATTGCTTCATGCAAAATTACAAACTAATTGAGAAATTTAAAAATATTTAAATTCTCCAGGCCAGAAGACACGGCCTAAAATGAAGAGACATTACAGCAAGGATGGTTTACATGAGACAAAACATTCAGATATACAGCAGCTTTCTTTGCATTTTTTTTAATTATCAAATTTTCTGCCTAGAAATAAGTAAAAGGGTCCTAAGCTAGGAGTAGGTAGAAATTAGGTACTGTAATATAGTAAATGTAAAAGATAAAATATATTTTTAGAAAAATAAATATTTTTAGACATGTTGAGAAAGGTGATAATTAAAAGGTAACATAGAAAATGGGACAACATGATGCAAAAACAAAGTTGTTACCCTGGTCGGTAGAAACAGACAAATATTCCAACTTTATTCCTTTTTCTAAAAAAATTTAATAATAACCTTAGTCCTCACCCTTAGGCCTTAACGTTATTAAGAATTTTGGAGCTAGCTACCACTATTTAGTTTGGTGAGTTAAATTTAATTTTTTCTTTGTTTGATTTCTTACGTACACTCTCCTAGATTTTCCATGCTGTACTTTGTTATGCTCTTGTTGGTTTGTGCCCAACATGCATAATAATTTTCACTTAATAATGTTATGGAGATTGCTTCACTTTTAATCAGAGATCTCAGATTTGTGTCGTGGTTATGGAGAAAAACGTGTTGGGAGTGCTTCCCTAGTGGATCCTGCAGTGCGCAATTTGAATTTAGTCAGGGCTCTAATGTGAGCTCCAAACACCGTGGGAAACAAAAAAAAAACAAGCGACAATTGATTTTCAAAATATTTAATTTGCAAGGCTCTTCGATGTGCACATTGTGTATATTCTTGACTAGTTTGTACCTGAAATATTACTTTAACTTGTGTAATAAATTGAAATTCCTGGATTAGAAATTCTTATAATCTGCACGTCTCGTCCACTACAGCTGTAGAATGTGTTAGGTTAGGTTGAGCTCCCAGCTTTCT